TATGTATGTATGTATGTATGTATGTATGTATGTATGTATGTATGTATGTACCTGTCTGTCTATCCATCCATCTATCCATCTATCCAAAGGAGATGGCCTCAGCCAACAGTGGCAAGGTTTTTGTATTCAGTCAAGAAGCAGGGAGCTAGTTTACTTCCCAAGAACCATGCAATGTGTCTGCAAAGAAGCAACTGATACTAAGCACCACAAAACTAGACGTACAAAAAGCTATGTAGAAGCCTTGCTATTCTGTCATCCAGAGACATCCGACTCCTTTTCATCTTAAGTTCTCAGGCTATGAAATATATCCTGTGGCAGTGAGTTCCAGTAATTAACAAAGCCCTGTGGAAGAACATTGTTTCTTCCAATTAGCAGCAAAACATCTTCCTTAACAGTTTTTCATGATAAGCATCTGAAGTTCCTGACTGTCTATGAATATCTCAACATGTTATTATCCAACGTATCTGGCATGGCTTTCCAACTGAGAAGGAATTTGATACATCCAGATTCCTGAAAAAGAGCTTCTGTACTACATTGAGTTATGCAATATATTTCACCTGTCCACTCTCCAAGTATCTCTGGAAGAGATTATCACATGCAAATACGTAACAAAATCCCAAAGCAGTCAGAACTCCCCAAAACTGGCACCAACAGATTCCCACCTAGTGAGGCAATAGGGTTTTAATTTACAGACTGACTGACTGCTGAACAATTGTTGAGGTGGATCCTAGGGCCAGCAATCCTGAAAAGCACATTGGACTATCTTGCAGGCTCTTGTGCAATTTTCCAATCAATTCATTTAGGGTTTATTTTAAATGTCGACAGATCTTCCCTGAGTTTATATTTTCTGTTTTTGTCGCAGCAATAACAGGACCTGGCTCATCTTGACTGGCTGGTATTGACCAACTGAGACTGCTTAATGGATGGATAGGAAACCCTCAGGGAATTGCATGCCAGAGGAAAAACTGGAAAACTGGAAAAAATATCCTAGAAGAAGGAAATAGCAAATATTTTCTATATTGTTGCCAGGAAAACTACACAGAAAAATGTATGAAGCACCAGGAGCTGAGGTGAGCTTGAAGGAGCCTTTACTTTTTCATACAAATTTAAAATAAAATAACTGAGCATTGGATTCTCACTTAAAAGTGAGAATTCTCACACCAGAGTTCGGTATAAGATGGGCAACTATATAAATGTGTTCAATAACCAAATAAAATTATAACAACTGACACCAGCAAGACAAATGTTAGCCTATAATTTCAGCAGATCCAACTTGCATTGGCTGAAACTTTCACTTCTTCTTATCTGAATTTTTTTTTCTACTAAACATGCTGATTTTTAGAATCTGCTCTTATTTTGTCACCGCCTTATGACACCACCTTGTTTATTCTGATGTGGATGTTTTCATTATTTTGTTTTTGTTTTTAATTATTTTGAGGTATTTTTAATATGGCTTTTTGAATCTTCCTATTCCCTTGTGTATTTTTTCTGGAAGGGCAGAAATAAATGCACCAAATACAGGTAGTCCTTGACTTACGCCCATAATTGAGCTCAAAATTTCCATTGTTATGTGAGACATTTGTTAAGGGAGTTTTGCCCCATTTTAGGACCTTTCTTGCCACTGTTGTTAAGTGAATCATTGCAATTGTTAAATCATGAACATGGTTGTTAAGTGAAACTGGCTTCCCCGTAGATTTTGCTTGTCAGAAGGTCGCAAAAGTGGATCACATGACCCATCAGAAATAGGAACTTATTGCCAAGCACCTGAAATTTTGATCATGTGGGGATGCTGCAAAGGTTGTAACTATGAAAAACAGTCATAAGTCACTTTTTTCAGTGCCATTGTAACTTTGAATGGTCACTAAACAAACTGTTGTTAAGTCGAGGACTACCTGTATACAATTGGTGATCTGAGGGGAACTATCACTTAATCATATCGCCTGATAATTCTGAGAAGCAGCTGAATTCTAGAACAAATCCTAATGTCACAACTTCTTGAATGAGTCCACTGCTTGATCTGTAAAGCAGATTAGCATCTTCCCAAAGATTACCAACTTTTGCATTGCTGGAGATTTTACAGGGGCTTCTGGTTGGGTAGCAAATCCTCACCTTTGCTGAAGATGATGCTTTCATAGGGGATTTTATTTTTTGTCTCCAGACTAGAGCAATTCCAACGCTGATCACGGAACTGGTGCTGGCACTCATGGATGGCAATCTGGATGCCCTGAATGGCGGACGCCGTCACATCAGGGTTCCGTATGCAAACCTCCAGTTGCCGCCGTGTCAGGCCAGGCAGGTTCCTGCAGACAGTGTTTGCATTAAGCACGGGCTCCAGAGGCAGTTTCAGGCCCAGGATTTCATTAGAGAAGGAGCTGGAAAGCAAACAGACCATCAGCAATGTCATTACCACATTTTAAGAGTGCTTTTCTTCTAAACACCTCATCTATCTCTCTCTCTTTCTCTCTCTCTCTCTATCTATCTATCTATCCATCCATCCATCCATCCATCCATCCATCCATCCACCCATCTCTATCTATCTATCTATCCATCCATCCATCCACCCACCCACCCACCCATTCACCACCCATCCATCCATCCGTACACCCACCCATATCCATCTATCAATCTATCAATCAATCTATCTATCTATCTATCTATCTATCTATCTATCTATCTATCTATCTATCTATCTATCTATCTATCTATCCACCCACCCACCCATCCATCCACCATCCATCCGTCAGTACACCCACCCATATCTATCTATCTATCTATCTATCTATCTATCTATCTATCCATCCACCCACCCACCCATCCACCATCCATCCATCAGTACACCCACCCATATCTATCTATCTATCTATCTATCTATCTATCTATCTATCTATCTAT